CGGGGCTTTTTCTTGGTGGATCTATTCGAGAGTTTTTTTTTTTTTTTGGCCTTCTTTCTTTTCATCCCATCGTTATGCTTTATTGCTCGTCGGTTGCTTTGCATATTGCATTGTCTTCATATCCTAAAGCTTTGGATTATTCTCGGTTGCGTCCCAACTCAGGCGCAACATAGCATCGAGACCAAACCGTTTGTTGACATTGCCACATGGTTTGTGTCGCAACCTCACCTCTGAGCTTTTGGTTTTCTTTTCTTTTCTTTTCTTTTTTTGCTCGTCTCTCTGGAAACTGTGTCATACATTTGCTCTTTCATACTACTTCGCAGCGGACGGCGTTACGGATTCAACTTTTTGGGTTACGTCTTCCACGTGACATCTGTATGGATCAACTGATTAGTACTGCGACGCTGTTTTCAATCTTAAATTTGCGCTTGCAAGTTCACCTTTGCTGTGAGACTATGTGTACGAAACTAGAAGCGATTTCAGTTCCAATCTATTTGATGATCTCTTTATATCGTTTGATTGTCCCATCTCAAGTGCGTCTATTATTGCGCACCCTGTAAACGTTACTAATTCATGGAAAGCACCCGTGGGCCTGGGCAGTGGTTGATACAAAGCAGAGACAGGTAACCTATTGAAACTGCATGTATAAAGACAAGGCAAGGTCAAGCCTAGATAGATTATTGACCGATTGAAATCAATTATCCATACAATAGAGCATAGCATAGTCAGAATCCAGAGCAGTAATATTGAAAGAAGAAAAAAAAGATCTATAAAATGTCAACATTTCGCTTGAACGATACAATATAATACCACAATTCCAAGCGATCCCAATTTGCAAAATTATGCAAACTACATAATGGGTATCTCAAAAGCTCAACTACAAAAGAGCGAACGTCTTCAATGGAAATGAGGATCCGCCGCATAAGCCTTCCGACACTCCTCCAAGAGTTTCGCCTGTCTGGCAACGTGCGCGAGCCGACCAATAACCTCCTTATTACCATCATAGAAGGTAAAGACCGCATACGGGATGTTCACATCCTCACAGAATTCCCGAACAAACTGCTGCGTCTTGCGCAGATTATGCCGCGGGATGCGAGGATACAAATGGTGAATAGCCTGGAACTGGAGACCGCCATGGAAAAAGTCCAACCAAGGCGGGCAGTCGACGTCCATAGTAGTGCGGAGCATTTTCTGCGGGAAAGATTCCAGCGGGCCGAGATCAGCAGTGGACATGGCGTAGTGCGACAGCGTGATCTGCACGTGCAGCGGCGAAGTCACCATATGCGAGATCAGAACGAAGGCGACGCGGTTAAACCAGGTCGGAATGCTACACCAGACAACGCCGTACCCAAACCAAGTCCAAAAGAAGATGTGGCCGGCGAACTCGAACCAGCGGTGCCACCAGCCCGCACCGTGTTTCGGTCCACGTCCGACGATAATATGCTCCCAGCTGAGGAAGTAGAGGTTGAAGCGACCGAAGAGTAGGATGGGGTAATACAGGTAGTGCTGGTATTTGACGGTGATTCTGGCTACTGCATCGAATTCCATGATGCGGTCGTAGTAGGTGCTGCGGAGCGAGCTGAAGAAACGGTGCGATAGCGCGAAGAAGGGCATCAGCTCGATATCGGGATCGTGCTCGGGAGCGTTGGTAACAATATGGTGGACGTTGTGGCTGCGCTTCCACCAGCCTAGGCTTAGGCCGCCCAGGTAGTCGGCGATGATCATGCCGATGGTAGTATCAATCTGATAGTTATGCGTGATACCCATGTGGCCGGCATCATGGGCGGAGAAGACAAGTTGGTGCCAGAAACAGCCGAGGAAGAAGGCAGACAGACAGAACCAGGACTGTCTGAGGAAGAAAATGAATAGCCCGAAGAAGAGGGTGTAGCGAGAGATCTCGATAGCGTAGGCTGTGTAGTTGCAGTTGTATAGCCCTGCTGCGCGGATGCGCTTGTGCAACTCGCGGTATTTCTTTGTGATGTATTCTTGATGCTCTGCATCGAGAGGAGGGTACTTGGATGTATCCAACTCAATCTCCTCCTGGGTTCGAGCATCGATCACGTAGGCTCGTGGCTTGGTTTCTTTTAGTGGAGGAATGGCGCTGACTGCCGAGGAGACTGTTGATACTGATAGCCTGCGTCTTAGGCCCAATCTTTCGTCCTCGGCTTCGAAGATGGGAGACGGTGGTGCCGAAATCTCTTCACTTGATAGCTCTGAGCTGACCAGATCTTCTTCGTTGATGTCGTTTTCGATCAATGGGCGGAATTCGCCACCTTGGATGGGAGGGAGGAAGTTGGTCCAGCGGCCCTCGATTCGGCCAATTTGGAATTTGCTCATGCGCTGACGGGCTTCCTGTGAATGGAGTCTTTGAGAAGGGTATTAGTATAATGCGCAAATGTAAATGAACAAGAATGGAGAGGTTTTGGGAGACTAACGCATTCACTTCGTCCGTGGCATCTTTGCCAATCATATGCTTGATGGCCATATCACCTCCGGGATGATATTTGATCCAAGAATCTAGTCTGAGGACATTTCCCTCCACGATGATAATCAACTTGCCTTCAGCAAGCATGCCCTCAATCTCACGCCTTGAGAAGACATTGTCCCTAGCCCTAGCTGGGGTGGACATCTCACTCATCTGATATGTTCAACGAAAGAAGCCGATGAGATATGACGGCTAGTTGTTTAGGTCAGAAGGTTGGACGTGGAAGAAGGATATGGTCTTAAAACAATTATAGTAAACAATCGGGGACCTCTCTTTTTGCTTTTTTACTCGATGAATTCATTAATCTATTAAGTTACCTAGACTTGCATAGCGCCGTAGCGCACATCCCGTTCCTCTCGACCCCGGGGACAGAGACAAAGGGGGCAGTGTAAATTGGTCTGTCCAACCGAAATGTGGACACGGGAGAACTCCATGGGGAATGAAGAGGGGAGGTCGAGGTGGATAGTGTGTTACAATTGGATAAGGCAGTGTGACAGGACTGTGGGCACTGTGGCGAAGATAAAATATGGTCCATACGCGTATCTTTGTCAACTATACGGAGTACCATATGTTGTACAACATATGTCCCGTTTGATAACTCGAGCTAAAACAAGCTTAAACCTTGGGTGCCCCTGTCGGAAATTGAAAGGTTAGATCTTTAGATCCCCCTATCCCATGTCGAAAACTCTACTCCACTACATATGGAACGTTCCTAAATATTACATACTCCGTACACTATCTAGCGCTATGGAATCCACAGAGAACGTTCTCCATTTCATCTAAAAATGAATCCCATGTGTTTTCCCCCTGAAAAACTGAAGTGGCGATTCGTATTCGCAATGAGATACAAATCTGGCTAACCTTGCTTGGCTACGTTACCTTCCAAGGTTGGCTAATAGTGGAAATGCTCTAACCAATTTTGGAAAACCTTGACACGTGGCCACCCCAAACCCTAGGAAAAACATCATTTGCGCAACTTTATTATTATATCGGATCCAGGGACAAGATCCATAACTCCAGAAATGAAACGTCTGTGAACTGTCCAGGCGAAAACAGATCTTCTTCTTTTTGCTCCTCTATTGCCGCTCGAGCCCCGCATCTGGGGCGTCTGGCTAATATCGCCAATTTCCTAGTTAAGGACGTTTACGTATTCGGGTTCGTTTTTCCCTCTACTCCGTACGGAAGGGCGAAGTCGCCACTTGACCACTTGCATTGTGTCTTTCTCATTTCTGGGTCGTGCTGTCATGATCCACAATATGAGATAACGGTCAAGGCCATTCCAAAAAGACATTGTTTCAATGTGGAAAACGTAAAGCCAAGGCTCTATTTCTACACTAGGGTCAATACGTTGTTAGGGGCAAACTCACACAAGGCCATATTAGTTGAATAGCATTTTAAAATTAGTTATTCGAGGCGACGATGTCACGTCAGATACTATGTAGAATTAGGCTTCCATTTAAATAAAGTAAAGGCGCAGGTTGCTCGCATGACTTGGACGCCGCGGTACAAGACCTCCTGCGCATTTCGCGGGGTGAAACACTTTCTGGAATGTACCTAGAAATACCTCTAGGCTCTTGGCGTTGGCTTTTTTTAAGGGAAACTTGTCCCAAAAATATCTATGGTGCTACATTGGATGTTGCACGGAATACTCCGCACAGGACAGGAGACCAAGCACCCACCACGAGGCTTTTGCGATACAGAATATCCACTTCTCAATGGGGATTTCTGGGTCGGCAATGAGACACAATATTAGTTCTGACTTTAAATGGGTTTTCAAATCCACTCATAATAACGCTGAATGTGAAAGACCTGCAATTTTCGCAGTCAACCGCGTAACTCGAAGTCAAGCTAGCCTATATCAACCAATTGGGGAAATGATGTCGAAAATATAGGTTAGAAAAGCTAACCTGAGGCAGAAATATAAATTGCTATGTAACATGATCCACTCGAGCACTTCGCTAGCCCCATTCAAGTTGAGAAGGCTTGCATCCTAGTCGACAATGGGTCGCTAGGGCCGCATTGTGAGCTTGGTCCCTCAAACACCTTCCGGCCTATTTGGGAATGTTCTGCCAATTAAAAATCAACCTCTCTCTTCATGGGGTTATCGTTGATAGCCGGAAAAATGAACTGCGGCGGACTCCCGTCTGCTTCAGTCCTCGAACCCCTGTAGCCAAGTAGTTCAGATGTGGATATCTATAACCAATCCAATACCAGCCAGCGCCCACACTGTAACGTATTCTCTTGCAGCCGCGTCGACAATCTTAGGTGGCCTCCAAAATATGTACTACGCACCCCTATGATGCAACATGGTGATCCTTGTAATATGGCGATCACTGCTGGATGCAATAGAATAATTGTGTTTCAGGAACGAGCCAATCGTTCGGTGTGCTTCTTCAATGCTTCTAGGTTACTGGTCACTGGTTACTTATAAATGAACAAACTCTAGGCATCTGCTAAATACACAATATAGATTTTATAGGGGGTTACGTCTTCCGTTCTCAGCTGTCAAGATGGGGAAGGCAATAGGGGCGAATAGCGCACCATAGCATCCGCCGTTATAGTAGTTTGCGGCCTATGGTAGGTCCTTAAAAGGGGCCTTCCGCCGAGAGCTGAATTTTCGCCGACACCTTCACCTGGATAGAACGTGCGGAGAGGCTGCCGCGGCTGGGAGAGCAACGCTAGCGCGTTGTGGATATAAGTAAGGAAACATGGTTTGTCTAATAATGAGATTGGTGTGGTTGGCTTCTCTCTAATAAGGCAACTGGATTTAAATTCCACATTGTAGGCTAGGCGCTCTTCACGAAATGCTACATACGAATACGGAGTTTCAATGTGAGGTAAACGGCTGCTTTTTATAGAGACACTCCGTACGAATACGCAGTTGTTCATCCTGGAGACTCTGCCCACATCAGTGTATGCACTCCGTTCCTACAACATAGGATCACTTACAACAGTCCCATAAAACAAACTTCTAATAGAAGTCACATTTCCGCCAAAGAAAAATAAGTGGACTTGCTATTAGACCTCCCAGCTGGGTTTTCGCAGCACCATCGATTGCAGCCTGGTCAGACAATTTCTTTCCTCGAATAAAAATAGAAAAATCTCAGCTTAGGTATTTATAGTATAGAATATGAGACAATCCCTTTACGGTTTTAGGTCATACTGATTGAATTAAACGTTATGTAGTCTGTATTGATAGCAGACACCTGCGGTACTGGGATGTTCGCAATAGGCATCAGGCGTGTTTTTGGGGGGATTTTTGAAAAATGAAGCCATACAGAGATGGCCATGACCTCGACTATGTAATATGAACCTATTGACTGACGTTGAAATAAGTTTGAAGCCATAAAACCCACCCCAGTAGATACCGGATCTCAGCGGAAGCTTGAGAACGCGTCTCAGCGGGACCCCAGAATCCACAAACACACGACAACGCAGCTCTCACAGCCTTCAGACTTTTGCAGCTCAACGCCACAACGTTCGAAAACACCGCGAATAACCCAATCCTCCACAATGTCCGCCTTCGCGCCCGAAGATCCAGACAACGGTTACTCGTACGCCGAGGTCGACGCGGAAACATCCACCCCTCCAATCTCTCAATCAATGGGCGACGCAGACGCCTCGCACGGCCGGGGTCACTTGAATAACCCCCTCTTGGGATCCGATAATCCGCTCGTTTCAGATCTGGAGCAGGAAGTGCTGGAGGAATACGCTCGATTGCTGCGGAATATCAACCAGGTACGAGGGAGAAGACCTTGTTGGCCTTGGTCTTATCTTTCTGGGACAATCTCTTTACAGGAGAAGGATACAAACAATGTCCTATTGGAAATTATATGAACTATGAATATTGGCTGTGCTGGTTACTGACCAATGCCTCGCACGCAGCTCTCCGATAAACTCGCCGACCTCGCCGGCTCCCCCGCCTCCATGCCACTCGACGGTCTTCGTCTCCTTGAGCGCAAGACTGCGACTGTATGCACATTGCTCAAGGCCAGTGTGTATAGCATTGTCTTGCAGCAGCAGATCTGGAATGAGAATGAAGAGCAACAGCAACAACAGCAGAACGAGGATCGACATTTCCAGGACCACGAGTATCAGCATGGAGGATATGAGGGGGATGGAGACGTGACATTCCAATAATGGAGGAAGTCATGAAAATTGTCTATTGCATTTGATGGTTCTCTTTTTGTTGTTTACTCGCGTATTATACCCAGGGTGTTCCAAGTTTTCATTTTGGCGCGAATCAGATGGTGTTCATGCAAAAGACCTTTGTTGATATATGATTTTCCAGATATGCTGTGAATAGCTCAGAATACTGGAGAATTGATGACCCGTCATGTTTAACAACCAACTTATAGAAGTACATGCAAAAGACACAAGAAGAAGAGGAAAAGAGAAGCATTATATACACGTTGGGATGAAACAGCAAGTCAAGGCAATGAGGGCCTCTAAATCTTCCCTGCGTAGTACACCTTGCGCACATCGACAATCTTCCTGCCGAGTGCGTGAGCAACCTGCTCGGGGTTACGCTGGGTCATGAGTGCCTCATAGGCGGCCTTGACCGTGTTCATCTGGTTCCTTGAGCGACCAACTCGGGCGGATAGATCGTGAATACCGGCGGCGCGGCACATCTCGTAGATGAGGTATTGGACACGAAGTCCGAAGCCTATTATTTTTTAGCAAAAATGAACATGCTTCGGAGACGGAATTAGACATACCTGGTGGACGGTGCATAAGCTGCAACTCTGTGGCTCCCACCTTGCCCTTGACATCGCCATAGATGGTTCGGTTCTCGTAGCGGGGAATGGGCTGCATGTTTCGGATTGCACGGTATTGCGACTGGATCTTTGCGTCGGAGGCTTCATCAGACTTGGCCTCACCGATACCCAGTAGACCATTTCCGTTACCGGCAATGGAAAGACGGTATGCACGCCGGACCTTTCCTAGTCGAGTCTGGTTGGTGACGCTGTGTGAAACGAGGGTCTTGGTGCGGAGGCCCTTGACTTGGCTCTCCGTGTAGCCCGTAGCCAGCAACAGGCTCTTGAGGGCATCGGTCATTTCCTCGGCCTCCGCTGAACGCTCCTTCTCGCCCTTCTCGGCGGCTGACTTCCGCTCTTCCACACGGGGCTCATCAATGGTCTCCCCAGGCCCGAAGAGATCCGGAACAAGTGCGCTGTGCGGGGCCAGCTCGCTCTCCTCCTTGCCGTGGGTGAGGCGCAGGTTGTCCGCGAACCGAACGAAGTCTGCACCTGTCGCGTTATCAGGCATTTCAGCAAAGAACTGGCCGAAGTCCTTCACGAAATCATCCTCGCTCTTCAGCTTGAAATTGTAATCCGAGTTCGACTCCGGGGCGCGCTGGTGTCGATCAATACCGGGCTCAATCACCGAGAAGTCGTCAATGTATTTGAATGACATGGGGTCACTACGTTCGTTCATCTGTTCTGCCAGATCCTTCGGGTCGATAGCGGCTTCGCCGGCTTCGACGGCGGCCATCTGTGCCTCCGAGTACTCCTTGGCGAGCGCAGCCTTCTGCTCTTCAGTGTAAGGCTTGTAATCCTCCACCTGAGGAGCCTTAATATTGGGGAACCTAGGTTTCCGGTTCGAGAGAGTCGCGGGAGTAGGATGGAATTGGCGTCGAGGGACTCGCGTGCTTGGGGCGGCAGCACGGGTGAAGCTGCATAAAAGGCATCGTGCTGGCCGTGTGATATTCATGATGACAGTACAACGGAGCTGCCCAGCCAACAGAGGCTGGTTGTGAGCTTTAAAAATAAAGAAAAAGCCGAAATGCGGAGACAATTGGGGGACGCAAAGGCAAAAGAGGCCAGTCGGAGGTGAAGCGTCGGGATGAATTTCTTTCTTGCGGGCGGTCAGTCTACAACCAATCAACGACGCGTTAGATGCGTTTAATAAATTTCCCATTTGACGATTTTGGTTCCAAAAATTATTTCGCTGTCGCTTTCCAACGTATATGTTTGCAATACGGTCATCTGTTAGGCGCTTGACTTCTTCTCTGCCTTTCCGGACACTAACGGCTCTTCAAGTGCGGCCAGCCTCCAAATTATATTACAAACGCCGTTCAACGAATGTGCCAGTCCCCGCAATAATGCAAAACCCCAAGAAACACTTCGACGGCAAGCGCAAGAAGGCGAAGGTCGACAAGAACAATAAGAGCAGTGGACACGATGAGGTCCTGCTTTGTGATATCAATCAACTCCTCAAACGCAACGAAACCGATCAGGCTGAGACCAACGGCGACAGCGAGCCTCTGTCCCTTCCCGAGAAGTTCACCGAGATTGATGTAAAGATTTCCGAGCTTTCCTCAACAGGCGATGGTCTAGCGCTCGCCGACAATAGGAAATATGTCTACGTTGTTCCGTTCACGGTCCCCGGAGACACCGTGCGGGTCAAATTGGTCAAGCATTTCGAGTCATTGTCATACAGCTTGACCGATTTTGTCAAAGTGATCGAACCGGGTCCCCAAAGAAACGATGCGCTTATTGGATGCAAATACTTCGGGGAGTGCTCCGGGTGTCAGCTTCAGATGATGTCCTACGAGGACCAGCTTGCTCACAAACGGCGCATCGTGGAGAAAGCCTATGCCAATTTCTCTGGGTTGATCCCGGAGCTTGTTCCTACCATTGGAGAGACCTTTGCGTCGCCAATGCAATACGGATATCGCACGAAACTTACACCTCATTTCGCACATGGTGGCGCCGGCAAAGGCTCTAAGCAGGACGGCGAAGAACCCTCGCAACCGCAGGTACCCCCGATTGGATTCACATATAAGAACCGCCGACTGGATATGGACATCGAAGACTGCCCCCTTGGAACAGACATTGTGCGTCGCGGACTCACCAGCGAGAGGAAACGAGTTGCGGAGAACATCCGTTCTTACAAGCGAGGTGCCACTCTCCTGATGCGGGAGTCTACCGCACGAATCCCCAAAGACGCTGCGCCTACCGCCGACGGAGAGACTCCCAATGTTGGCGGGATTGCCGCTACTCCCAACGCGGACACGGGCGATGTGATCCGCATTGAGCGCGAAAACTACATTGAAGAAAAGCGTTGCGTCACAGACAACAACGCCACATCCTTCGAGTACGTCGACGACTATATCTTTAGCAATAAAGCAGGTGCTTTCTTCCAAAACAACAATTCCATTTTGTCCGGCTTCACAGAGTACATCCGCTCGCAAGCTATTCCCCCAGGCAACGACAAAGACGCAAAGCCAATCAAGTACCTCTTGGATGCTTATTCCGGCTCAGGTCTGTTTACTATTACCCTCTCCCCATTGTTCAAGTCTAGTCTCGGTGTCGACATTGGAGGCGATTCTATCGTTTCAGCACGTGAGAATGCTCGTGCAAACAAGCTTCCCAACACAGGCTTCGCTGCTGCCGACGCGGCCACTCTCTTCAAGGACGTTCCTTACCCACCAGATCAAACATTGCTGGTTATTGACCCGCCTCGCAAAGGTTGCTCAGAAGACTTCCTGCGCCAGATGCTTGATTTCAAGCCGCGCCGTGTTGTCTATGTCAGCTGTAACGTTCATACCCAGGCTCGTGACGTTGCTGTTATGGTGCAGGGCGACGAGAAGCAGAATGTTCGCTATGAGATTGAGAGCGTTCGTGGCTTTGATTTCTTCCCCCAGACCGGTCATGTGGAGGGTGTGGCTATTTTGAACCGCACCTCTTTCCCTCAGACTGAGACTGTTTGAGTGATGGAATCCCTGTAATAGTCTTGGGCCTTTCTAGACTATATATTTGTCTGATGTTGCATATTCGTTGGCGTTTTGGGAGGAAGTACAAAAAGGCATGATGGCGATAGTGGATATGTACGCTATGTAATACATTTTCATTTTCATTTTCATTTTGGATTTCATTTTAAGATATTCAGGCTATAGACTGCCAATTGCTCTAGTTACGTTGTAAACTGGCTTTGAGTCCCCTGAACACCGGCGCCAAGCCGTTTTGGATAAAAAGAAAGTAGAGAGCACCACCGGAGAAGAAAGAAAAAGAGATAAAACAAGGAACTATGAACAAAAGGCTGAGCTACATCGATTGACAAGTATCTAATGATAAGGTTCACTCATCTTCCCCCTACGAGCTTCCCGGGCCACCAAGCAGCGCGAATCGCCGCACAATGCTGGGACCTATCTCGTCATACTCTGCCTTAGTGTGGCAGTAGCTCCTGAACTCGGGCGTCTGGCCCAGCAGACTACCTCCGAACCAGGGACCATGGCGCTGGCGCTTGTGGGTGACAACAGCGACATCGAGACCACCACTGCGTGCGCCACCGCTACGAGCCTCGGACGCACGGATTCGTGCATCCACCAAGTGACGAATGTCACGCTGTAGACGACGGCCAAAGTCCTTGTACAGAGTAGAACCACCGGAGAGCACAATGTTCTTATAGAGACCTCTCCTGACGTCAATTGGGGAGGACTGGATGACGCCGTCAACAACATTGGGAAGCGGGGTCAGAAAGTCGGACGAGTAGATTTCGGGGTTGAAGAAGATCTCCGGGGCGAGGAAACGTTCGTATCCAATATCAATGTTTACACTCCGCCCGTTTGGCGCAGTGACGGTGTGCTTCAGGAAGCGATCTGGCTCGCGGTCGTAACGTGCGAACTCCTTGACAATATCAGGGCTGACGTAACAGTACTCTTCCTTCACTTTCTCTGCTGTCTTTAAGCTGCTGTCGGGCTCTCCACGGTCACGTAGCAAGCTCTGCACGAAATATGTGATGTCCCGTCCGGCAACCGGGATACTCTTGATAGAGGACCCGATGACGTAGCCCTCGGCGACGGGGATAACGTGGGTAACACCGTCACCCGAGTCGATGACCGTTCCAGTCAGTGATCGGTCCGTCACCTTTGAGGATGTCCATGAGGCGGCAAGGGCGAGCACTGCTTGCACAGCAATGTAAAGACCAGCGCAGTTGAACGACTCGAACATAATTTCGGCGGTGTTCTCGCGGTTTTCGGGAGGGTTCAGGGGCTATATTCAGATATGTCAGGTCTCATCATGTTAAAAGCAGCCCGCTGGCAGCATGCGCAGTCGCCTTACAGGTTCGGTGAGTAGGAAGTAGTGGTCCTCGGGCTCCACACGCAGATACTTGAAGATCGAGTTTGACCAGAATCGTTCCATGTGGTCCCAGTTCTCAATCTGTCCGTGTCGGATCGGGTAATTAACACCATATCCTGGGCCGTTGCCCGCAGCCAGCGCTTCGTCGCCGATAAAGAAATCCAGGTCCTCCGTGCCACGCTTGGCAGACAGGTTGGAGCTACTTCCACCACCGCCCAGGAACGAGGGCTTGTTTGCGACTGGGGGCCGGCCCCCGGAGCTTCCAGTACTTCCAGCACCAGCCTTGGTTGCAATTGCGGTCGGAAATACAAATGAAGGGGAGTCGTTACCGGCGAAACCTGGAATAGTGGAGGTAGCATGTCAGCCTAATCCGTGATCGTGAGCTCCCTAACCACTACAGAGAGCACATACCAAGCTTTGAATAGCCAGTTCCACTAGAGAAAAGCATAGAGTCAGCACCAAATATTCTTTTGATCCTTGCATCTGTCAACTCACTTGTCCATGACAACGGCTGGTGTTTGGGACGCCATGGTGGGTGGTTGGGCCTGGGCACGATCACAATGTAGTAAGGAGTTGAAAGAAACTTAGGCAATGTACAGAACAAGGCAATAATGAGGGAACCGGCCGAATATCAATTGGTAGCCGAAATCGCCCTGACTTCAAGAGACCAAGAGGACAGGCAGACAAGGCGGGGGGAGATGCAGTGCCCGGAGGTCAGATTACCTAAGGGGTCACACGTCAACCCGTGGACAACATGTGCCGGGGAAGTATCAAAATATCCTCAGGCCTCTCCAGGTCTACGTAACAAAGCTAGCAACCGCTGAAGATATATTGCCTTGGTGATGCTAATGTTACCGCTTTCAGCTGAAAATTGAAACTTGAGCAAAATGGCAAGAACGACCAGTGTTATAAGAGCTTCCATAAATTTCCACTACTTTGTGATTGTCCATTCGCACATCCTCAATCCCTAACAGTCCTTTATTATTTCAACATTATCATTTCTGATGCGAGGGGTGCATGCATTGCTACCCTTCGTTCTGTCTATTCTTTTCTCACCTCGACACGGATGGCCTCGCTGTAGGCTCTTGATCTCTCTCGCTTCACTCCCCGTGCCAAAATCTGCCATAGCATTAGAGCATTGGTTTCCAGTGGTTATTTAGCCCAAAATAGGCGGTCACTCGTTCCAATTTGGAGTACAGAACTCACAAAGAGCTACCGCATTTTGATCGACAATCCGCGAGTGCATCCACCACGCGTCCAAGATTTGCCAGTCCACACGCCGCATCCATATCTTCACTTCAGCTTGACCTTGTGCAGAATCCCGAGGTATATTCACAAATTGCACCTGTCGACCTCTTAATATGTCGCAAATGTCCGGGAATGAGGGCGTTTGTGCCGTATTCATTCATGCTGGAGCGGGCTACCACAGCCGTGACAATGAGCATAAGCATTTGAAGGCCTGTGAAGTGTCAGTCCCAGCCTTTGTTATATTTATTGGTTACGGAATCTAACAAGTGATTGAATTAGGGCTGCGTTCAAGGCCATGGCATTCTTAAAGAGTGGTGGCACCGCCATTGACGCCGTCGAAGCAGCCCTAATGGTGCTTGAAGATAACCCGATTACAAATGCAGGGTTTGGGAGCAACTTGAACGCAGCAGGGGTGGTCGAAGGCGATGCCTCGATTGTCGATCATCACGGGCTAAGTGGAGCAGTTGGAGCTGTGCCCAGTAAGTCTGTTGTGTGTCTTTCTCAGACAGTCTTTCCTAACATGTGAGCTTGCCAGATATCAAGAATCCAATCATGCTCGCTCGGAAGGTTTACGATAAAGCCAATGTGAAGATGGGCATGTCAAGGGTGCCCCCGAACTTCTTGGTCGGAGAAGGTGCCAAGGACTTTGCATGGGAGAACGGCATGGTGATCATGCCCGAGGAAGCTTTGATCTCACCCGTCGCTCTGGAGCGTTATCAGGTATGGGCCGCAGAAGTCAAAGATCATGAAAATGAAACCCTCGGTGAAGTGATCGATCCCTGGATTCGCCGTCCAGTCACTCCCCTTGACACTCGCCTTGAACGTCTCAAGCGTGCTTCTCAACCAGGAGCCCATCCTGCCAGCCATGCAGTGGACGAGGAAACTAGAACTCCGCCCGATCCAAGCATTTCTGCAGGTGTGAAGGGTCGCCGGGGAGCATCGCTGGAGCAGCAAACTCAGAAAAAGGCCAAGCGCACAAGTTCGCATCTACCTGTGCAGTCTGTCTCGCCTTTATCCTCGTCTCGGGATGGCACCGATGCCGCCGATAGTGAACAAGACGAGGAGGATAGCATCACGGACACTGTTGGCGCGATTGCCATTGACAAGTATGGAAATATTGCAGCAGGATCTTCTTCTGGTGGCATTGGTATGAAGCACCGAGGTCGAATTGGACCTGCAGCCCTAATTGGCATTGGCACCCATGTTATCCCGCAAGACCCGACTGATACGGATGGAACCACATGTGCAGTCGTAACATCTGGGACAGGAGAGCTCATCGCCTCAACCCTGGCGGCAAGTACCTGCGCGCAAAGGATGTATTACAGTCAGAAGATGGGCGACAATGGCATATTCCACCAGGTGATGGAGGAAGAAGCCCTCGGAGCGTGGATGAAAAGAGAATTTAGCGGTGCGTTTTCTTCTTTTCGCTACTGTAATTTCCGGAACACTAACACTTGTTTGTCTTGTCTGTTAGAACACTCTGCCGTGCGTAACAGCGTTCTCTTTGGGTCCCTCGGAGTGGTCATTGTGAAGAAAACCAATTCCGGCATCGAACTCTACTTTGCTCACAACACCGACTCTTTCGTGAGTCCTTCATTATTGTCACTGTGCAGGACTGGTCACTAAACTTATCTCACAGGCCATCGCCTCTATGTCCAGCTATTCGGACAAACCGTCTTGTCTAATGTCGCGAGGGCAACGAGGAACCATTGCCCAAGGAGGTTGCCGATACAGACTCAAAGACTATCAGTACTGTAAGTTTTATCATCAGGTTGAAGATACAAGCCGTGAGTCCTGACGCGGATAATTTAATCAGAATTGCAATGGATCCTGGATAAGAACTACAACTATGTTGCAGCGAAGCCTCTTTGCTCTGCTGACATCTGGTCTGTTGGTACTCATCGATCGACGAGGTAGTTTTCACCCACAACCACCTGTATCTGATTCAGCCCGTCCCCTCCCCTTCCCGTTCTATGCGTCGGCAGACCTAACTCCCCGTTGCGTTGCTTGGCCCTGCAAAACCGATGTCCAATTCCATGATGGCAGGACAAGACGATCGATTGCTTCAATGGCTCTTTCTTGCTGTCCCTGGACAAGTCTCCTTCTTTGAGGCCGGGCACCAACAATGTGATCAGAGTATGTTTCAAGAAGCCCTGGCGTTCTCCCTGTGTGTACCTAGTCTTTTCATACTAGTAAAATGAAAGCTGTCCCAAATTTCTCCTCTGTAAACCAGCTACATGTAGTGTTGCTCATAGCACTAAGCCGATGTGTCTTCCAGGTGTGATGGCCCAGACTTCGTAGAGTCAGGTCCTACCATATGGTTATCTTCCCCCCACCTTAACAGTACGAGCTTCCGTGGAAGAGATGTCAAGGACCCGGCGTAGGCGTCGACATGGGCGTCCCAGTTCCGGAGGCCCCATTAACACGCTTCTTCTTCTTCTTCTTCCTTGGCAAGAGAGCAGGCCTGGCATTATCTCTGATATCCAGATGCGTTCCACAAGTCATGCAGTCACCAGCAGGAGGAGGCTCACAGAAGATACTGAGACAAATTGAGCACACAAAGCCAACATCAACCACCCGGCGATGACAAAAGCAAGCAGCCCTGAAATCGACATCCACCCGCGTGGGAAGAACCAAATGGCGACGCGAGCGCTGATCCGGCAAAAAAGCCATCATCAGATATTGCAGCAGGCCTCGCGGCTCGGCGAGAGCCATATAAACACCCTTGGTAGCATCAGACGCCTGCTGCAGGAAGACCGCATCGCCACTGAGCTTGCACACATCGATGGGGATGTTCAAGCGCTGGCAGGCGAAGATGCTGTTCATAACAGGGATATACTGGTGGGCAGCGTCGGCAGACCCGCTCACAGAAACGACCAAGATGCGGCTCTGCAGCCGTTCGTCCTCGTTCGAGGCTGAGTATCGGTTCGTGGATGCGGCCCCGCTCCCACCGTTGCCATCGGCCGCTGCATCTTCGGCGTTGGCGCCACCGTGCTCCTCCGCCCAGGCGAGCGTGCGTCGATTGATGTGGCTCAGGGCGAGGGTTAGCGCGCCCGCTAGCATCGTGGACATGTTACCACGCAGATCGTCGCCGGTCGTCGAGTCCATCAGTTCTTTGAGGTTGCGGGTGACTTGTTCTTCGACGATGCGGAAGGGCCGGTATTTGTTCGTTTTCGGGGTTGGGTCGCTCGTGCCGTTCATTGCGACATCGCCGTCATGATCAGTGGTGCGGTATCGGGGTTCGCTGTGGGATGGGTAGAGCCATGCTGCTTTTCCGCTGTGCGATGCGACTACGGCGACTTCGTTGGCATAGTTGCAGGCTAGGTGGGCGTTGATGAAGACTAGGATGTTGGCGATTGCTTTGGAGAGTGGGAGGGAGTCTTCGAGGACGGCCCAGGCCTGTGGGTTTGTGTCGATGACTATGGTGAGCAGGGATGGGGAGAGGTCTAAATGGCGATCTAGTTAGCTAGTTGTCCGTGTCTTGCAGAGGGCAGAGAATACGGACCGGTAGCTCCTAACTCATAATGCTCCGAAGCATCCACGGAATTCATTGCGTTGAGACGGAAGACCAGTCGGGACTGGTGTTCATTATTGTGAGCCTGGGCTCTCTCAGACTCATACCAGGCCGGTTAGACTGGAATCCCGAGTGTGCTGCATATACAGCCAGAATTGATTTTGAAGTCCGAGCTCTACCAAGCATGTCAGTTGAGGATCTTGAAGCGATAAGCCAGTCACGGGGTGATAACAACTGCTATAGCTCCAGCTCCAGAACTGTTTCCTATGTGTTGTTCCAATATATATTCAACCTACGTCCTTGAATCCGATATGTTTCAAATCCTAACACTGACTTGACTACAGGATCTACAACTGACTCACAAGCAATTCGGAGCCTAGACCGACATTGAACACTCCAATCGGATTGACTCGCACATCGGTGAGGCCTTGGGTGACTGAAATTACCTCGAATTTATGAGCATCTTTTGTTGAGAAGTGTTCTGGCTTTTTCGTGAATTTGAGAGACTGGACATGGTTCTCTTGGCATATCCCTTGTACGCGCCAAGATGAAACTATTGCATGTGATGTACATCTCAAGTGGGTTCCAATATGCCTTCCCACTGTGTATAAGAATCCCGCAACACCGGAGTCCGCACCAGGATATCTCGGGAAACCTTGAAATAGATGTAACACAAATCTCACAAAAGGACTAAGCTGAGTATATTCTTATCGACAACGTGATGGTGTTCGATGCTGTGGTTGGTGTCTTATCGGACCAATTGATAATGGCGATTCGTGAAGGAAATGGGGGAACTGTACGATTCGGTATAGTACATCGATGTACTCCGTACATCTCAGACGGACTGGGGTAGAAAAGAATATGGTGTCATTTTAGGAATTCAAGCGGGCCAACGCGGCAAACCGAAACGAAAAAAAACAAATAATATTCTACATTTTTCTTCTTCCAAGACCCTCCTTTTTCCTTTTCCCCATAAAAAGCGGTTGTCCGTTCCCTTATCGCTCTTTCTCTCCGCTCCGCCCCTCACCCAGGAAAAAAAGAGCTTCTCTCATCCAACTTTAGCTTCCAAAATTGAACTCTCAACTGGAGCCTTCACCTCTTATCCTCTCTCGCGCAACCCTGCAATGGTTCAAGCAACTGGAGAAGAGCGCGCTGTACACCTGGCCCGAGAGGCTGTTGAACTGGTCGACGCGGGCCACCGAGAGGTAGGTATTTCTTGAACACCCCTCACTGGAAGCTAGCGGAACACTGACATGCAGCTCATTTCACAGGCTGCTTCTCGGAATCTTAGAGAAGCCCTTTCAATCGCCCCCGAAAACCCTCAAGTGAAAGCTGCCTTCCTGAAAGTTCAGTATGAAGACAAAGACGGTCACCAGCTTCTCGATCTCTGCCGCCGATACACCACACAGAATGATGAAAATGCAGGCAAAGAAGCTGCTACTTATCTCCGGACCGATGGCCTGAAAGCCCCGGAAAGCGTAGCTTTGGAATGCCTGGAATTGTTACTCGCACAGCGCCCGCACTCCCTATCGGCAACACAGGATGAGATCATATCTGGGTTGGTGCGACAGAACGTCAGTGTCCGACAGTACTTCTCTACACAGCTCCAGACTTCTGTCACGGCATTCTTCGATGAGATATATGACCGAGGCGATGGAGCAGCGGTGTGTCTGGATACCGTGGTGTTGGACCCCACTGTGTGGACATCGGAGGAAACACGGTCCCATTGCGAGAGTGAACTCTTCCAGCTTTTTATTGCTAAATTGATGGAATCGGGCCATGATCTCGATGGGCGCTCTTTAAAGGGAATTACTCGATTACTCGCTGTTCACGCCGTTGAACTCGAACATTTGATCGACGATGAAGGGCTTGAGGTGATCCTCTCATCTTTGGACAATCGGTTGCCGCTAGAAGTTCGGAGCCAGGCCACCTTGGCTACTGCGAAATATCTCGAGGTCGCCAAGGAGACGGGCGAGAAGAAGCTTTTGACACTGATTATGTCCATCCTTGGCAAAGGCCGTGTTAGCGACCTTATCGTTGCTTTCTCTGCGGTTGCCGCCATCTTCCCAGTGGCTCCCTCTGCAGCTGCCAATCTCTTCTTGTCGGAAGAATTCATGGCCTTCCTCCTCCCAATGGCCTCGCGAGAGACCAAGAGCAAGAAGGTAGAAGTTCCCGTGTTGGAACTTCTCAATGCGGCTTGCATTAACAGTCCGTGCCGCGAGGTTGTTTCAAAGAAATTTGGGGAATGGTTGTCACATATCCTGACCAATGGAAGTGATATTTGCTCGGAATTAGCCGCAGTGGCCCTGGCAAAGATCCGGGCATCCGAGCCCGAGAGACCCTCGACTGGCAACGGTAAGGTCTTGGAACAAGACAGCGAGTCTGAACTAGTTCATCGATTCATGGGACTGATGTCTGAACAAAAGGTTGAACACAACTCCCACGCAATCGAAGGATTGGCTTATACTTCGGTGAAGCCGTCCGTTAAGGATCAACTTGCCAATGATCCGGTTTTCCTACGAAACTTCATTGCGGCTATGAAACAGAACACCAGCGACTCATCCGTGCTCTATGGCGGCTTGATGGTCGTTCTAAACCTCACCAAATTCTTACCCAACCTATCCGAAGAGCAAAAGAAGATGGCACAGCTGAAGGACTACGCGGACCCCTCTACCGGAAAGGTGAAGGCATCACCAGCAATAGATATTCGAGATGAAGACGAAGCTGTTTCGGCACGATGTGCCGCCGTTATCGATGCAGGCATCATGACTCTCCTCGTTGAGTGTGGCCGAATCTCTTTGCCCTCCACCAATGAGCTTACAGCGAAGATTCTACAATCCTTGACAAGGCCTCAAAAGTCCCGTGGAACACTGGCCCAGCAAGGTGCGGTGAAGCTGTTACTCGCCCTTGCAGCTCCGAAGCAGAGCAGTTCTGGCCCTGTGACGAACGAAACCACACGCACCGCATCCCATGCGCTGGCCCGCATCCTCATCTCCGTTGACCCATCACATGTTTTTCCATCATCTGGATTTCCCCAGGTTACGTCCGCCGTCCGTCCCCTTCTCTCTCTCCTCTCATCACCCGAGACTGCCTCGCTCTCCGCCGACCAACCTCGCGACCTACTCCCAGTGTTTGAAAGTCTCCTAGCTCTGACGAACCTCGCTTCGTACCCGCATGACGACTCTGCACCCGAGCTCACCGTCCGGGAAGGCTGGTCTGCAGTAGAAGACCTCCTTTTATCTAGCAATGCTCGGGTTCAACGAGCTTCCTGCGAACTGGTCTGTAATCTGATGACTTGCGAGTCCGGTGTTATCAAGTTCGCGGATGGCTCTAAGCAAGCGGCCCAGCGCCTTCACATTTTGCTGGCTCTGACCGATGCAGATGATCCTCCGACGCGACGGGCTGCCGGCGGAGCTCTTGCGATGTTGACGGAGTTCGATGCTGCCATAGCAGCTGTCTTGGACCGACCGCGCGGAGTTGAACTCCTATTGGGATTGTGCCAGGAGGATGACGATGCCTTGGTTCACCGAGGTGTGGTCTGTGTTCGCAACTTCACTTGCGTCGCGACAGGTGACATCGGAACGCGCGCGAAAGCTGCCATTCGTACCGCAGGGGGAATTGATGTTCTCACTGGATGCCTCAAGAAGACGAAGAACCAAGCGGTGCTACAGGCTGGAGTAGAGGCACTGAAGCCACTAATTTAATGGCAGACATGACCGTTCGATGTCTTTCGCTTTCGAGCAGGCTCTTTTTCTTTCATTTTTCCATTTGCATGTGGCTTGGGATGGACTGGCTGATCCAGTGGAGTTTTTGCGATTTCTCATTTATTTTTCATGCTTTTATGAGTTTCTGAGATGACATCCTGATCATGAGCACAGCGACGGATTTAGCGATTGCTTTTTTCTTAGGACGCCTAAGGGAGGCGTCCAATCCACGAAATTCGGCGCACAGAGTGCAATGGGTTGCATACTAGCTTTTTGACATAGAATTATGAATGGCTCGGTCTTAACCTCCCAGCTTCTGACTTGAGCACCTGACTATTAGTATAATTCCCAGCTAGTGCCACCAAGCCTGTGGCGCTTCTATAGTTCTATAGTGCAGCCCTGGAGGGTCACGGGGTCTCCATGTTTGGGATACTGTGAACTTTCAACCATTCAAGCTTCTAGGAACTTCACCGACATTCTTAGATATATCCCAGGTTATCCTTGATTTGGTCCCTTCCAAGGTTCGGCTCCTGGAGGTCACAGAACACCTCTCTGACCTGGGGGATCAGGGGTCGGACGATTGACTAGATCCGATGCCGATCCCATGTGCATGTGCATGTGGGGGCCAGGTGGCCCCGGATCCCTCTCTCTCCCCCCCCATTCGTATGACGTTGAACAGAAAATCCACACAAAGCTCGTGAGCTTCCGGAAGAAATTCCACACCGCAAATTTAAAAATACGTTGTATAGTTACATTCTGATATTATGATGTCCACGGGTACATCATGAGCCCGGATATATAAAAGACCGTACCATCCGTACCGTGGAGAGTTCTCCCGTGGGTCGACAAATCATCTTCAGCTCAGCGCGCACACCTCCAACCGGTTCGCCTTCCTAAACTTAACAACTGGACTCTCTCCTTTACTTCTTGGCCCCACGCTCTTTTAGTTCTTCTCTTCTCGACCTATCCTCATCCTCTTTATTCAGGTGTGCAAAGTTTGCCTCCTCTCCGACAGGTACAGTCAGGGACACCTTGGAGCTTTGTCTCGTTTGTTTGTCTACCCTTTTACCTTCCCACTTTCTCCCTATTCCCTCACCTACACATCTCAATGGCGTGGTTCATTTCCTCCATTGCCTGCGTTCGCCCGCTCACCTGATCGCATCCTCGTGACACTCAGGTTGAACTCGCCGCGAATTCCCTTCGATTGAAAGCCCCGGACACAGTTGGATATTGCAGATAAAAGCGTGGTGGATTTTGAAAGGACTGTGGCCGTGAACTGAATTCTAGCGGTCAGTCTCGCCAGTATGAAGTTCGGCCGGAATTTGCCGCAATT